ACTGCTCGAGTTTCTTTGGTAATCAGTAGATTTTTAGCTCGCGTATGTGCTTTGATGCCATTAACACCTTCCATTAGTGTAACATTATTGTAAATGCTATTACATACGTAGTACTTCTCATTATGTACTTGTGTCTTCTATTTTCTCCTTTATCTAATTTTATGATGTTGTTGTCAAATATAAATGGTTTATGTTTTGATTCATTGTCTTGCTTATATGATTCGTCGTACTTGTCCACAATTTGTAGTCTCAAGGTCTACATGAAGCGAAGATTGAATGCTTTGAAACTCAAGTGGCAATCAAGCAGAAAAGGGAAGCAGCATCAGAATGTAAAGAAGAGGAAACAGAATAATAAAGAACCAGTTGGAAATGATTCATCGCAGCAGAACTTGGCGAATAATCCTGCTAATTCAGCATCTCACACGGAAACTGTAGGGGAGTGTATAATGGGAGCAGACCAGCTTACTTTGCCAAATCATGTATCATCCACCCCCGACACTGTTAGCAACTTGACCTTGGACACAATGGAAACCCTCAGAGAGAACTTAATGGAAACTCTAGGCGATATAGATCATTTTCAATGCGCCCACGAGCATTTGGATGGTGCAAATGAGTGTACATAGTCAGATGCTTTGCAACAAAATGAAAATAAACTCAAGCAACTTTACAGTGAAGGCCACTTATAAAGATGATGTAGTTAGATTTGATTTCTCATTGAGTTACAGTATTGACCAGCTCAAGGAAGAGTTGGCCAACCAGCTAGAACTCGAGGTTAACACATTCAAAATAAAGTATCAAGATGAAGAGAAACATCCGGTACTAGTGACCCGCATCTCTAACTTAGAGCATGCCTTAAATCTTTCAAGATCATCTAATGATAGCAGTGTTGTTAGATTGTTCTGAAAACATGATATCTTTATTATATTAGAACATTTGTAAACAACAATGAAAAAAGTGTGTGTGTGTGTGCGCGCATGCTCGAACATGAGAAAGAAGGATAGGTTTTATGGTACCATGACAACATCTCTAGCAGCCAGTGCAAGAATATCAGCACATGAAACAGTTCCAGGGCAGAACAATTCTAGCTCTCTTTTAGCCGTCTCTATTACTTCAAATCCTCCTAGAGATTTATTTGCAGGATCTGCTTTCTCAGTTCCATCCCCTTCTACTAGCACTGATGCATCACAATCCTGCAAGAAACATAGCTATAATATAGCATTTAATTATCTAGCATCTATTAAATGGCTCTTCTTAGGAAGCTGCCGCCACTTTAGTATAATGTACAGATAGATGGATAGAGGGATGGATAGATACAAGAGACGGAAACTCACGTTGACGGAGCAGTCATGGAAGAGCAGCGTAAAAGTTTCCCCGGAACAGTCGGATCAGTAGAAGCAAGCTCATCTTACAGCATCCCGGACTACAAACTCGACACCCCGGGCACGACAATGCATATAAATTCAAAGGAGAATCAATGAATATAACAAGGAAACAATCCTAAAAACAAGGATTAAAACCAAGAATGTTGGTTTTTGAAGACAATTAGCTTCAACAGGTACATTAATCATTTTGTATACCATTCCCAAGTCAATGTAGCATAAATTATAAACTCTTACTCTCGTTATATATATAATTTTTGTATGTCAGAACTGGATGCAATGTAACATGCAGCTTGTTTTATGTATTTATAGAAGGTGAGAAAGAAAAGTTCAAAGAAAGCTTATTTATTGATTTAAAGTTGCATTTATTATGTTTTTGGAGTTGATAGGTAGGAAGCTGAAGAAAGAGGGCTGTAAATTTTAATGAGACACTGACAATTTAGAGGGCTGATGAATAAAACAGAGCTGGCAGAGGGAATTAATGGTGGGTTTTTCATACCAATGCTTTTACAGGTTGTGTAAGTAGTGAGTTACTACTGTGATGTCCAACTACCCTAACCAAATTACTGTGATGTATACATGTTTATTATGATAGGTAGAATTTGCATGATTTTTGGGTTACTTGATGTTGAAAGTTCATGGTTTTGTTTGGTTTAAGTTTTTTGCTGCTTTCATCTTCTGGATCAGGGTATTATAGTCTTAAATCATCTAATCTTTACTAAGAGCATAAATATTGGTGAGGATGGTTTTTGTCCTCACAAACATTCTCTCTCCTTACCCTATTTTGACACCTCATACTCTCTTTCATCCACCTTATTTCCCACTATCTCTTTCCTCTCTTCCATCCTCTTCCATTTATTTTTCCCACATCAAAGGGTATCCTCTTGATATATTTTATACTATAAATATGGCCCCACCTTCAAATTTTTTCTTTGTAAAAGATTATTTTTTATTGATTTCTATAATGATAAGGTCTAATAATGATAATAATAATAATAATTAGGATTCGATAATTAGCATACATAATAAAAATTACCTTACCTATATATATTTTGATACAGTAACACATCAAATTAGGAATAAAAACACTAATTGATACACTAAAGTACAACAAATACAAGAAATTAAAGACAAATAACTAATTATCCTCTTTTTTCCTTACCGATTACTAGTATGCTCAAATCTTGCCCATAAATATTCTGCCAAATTCATATTTCTTCCATAAACTATGATTATTTTCATCCATTACAAAAGAAAATTATAAAAAGAGAGGAAAGAGAGGAAGGAGTGAAAAAGATGCAAAATTGAAGTGTATAAAAAGATGGCCAAAATTAGGTTCATTTTATAGAGAAAATAAAAATACAACCGTTGGTAAAATTAGTTTTTAAAAATATGTTACCGTTTGTGATTAATTACCGTTATAATTTTTTTGAGTTTATAAAATTATGTAACAAATAAACAAATAAAAGTTGACACTTCATCCTCTTGGCACAAAGGACAAGGTAATCCTCTTCTCCTTGAGGATCCTCTACATTACCCAACATCAAAGAGGACTACTCCAAATCAGCAAAAAAACCCACACAAGAGGACATATATCCTCTCCAATAATCTTGCTCTAAAGAGACAGTTATACTATGGATTTGCTGAAAATTGTGCCGGAATAATATTGACTCATTGACTTACATTTATTATTTGTAGGATAGTGAATATAATGATATAACTCCGTTTCTTTGAGCTGTTTTTGTTTGGAATGTTGTAATGAAGAGGGAAACTAAATACGTGTGAGATATTCTTAAATTAGTTTCGACGTGTGATTCAAAATTTATAGATGTTTAGATATTTGTAGCCTAGTGGCGGAATTGGCCTTGTGCCTGGTGGGTCAAATGAGTCACCAAGGCCCAAAAAAAATTCTAATTTTTTTCTTAAAAAAAAAAAAAATATTCGAAGATTTACACTCCGAGCTAGACGAATTATTGATACACTCCATTGCTTAAGGTAATTTCTGTTTTCTAGCAAATGTCTGTAATTTGATTGAATATTTACTATGGCTTATCACTTGATTGTGAAATTCTAGTATTTGATGATGATAATAACGATGATGTTAGGAACAAAGTTCAGTCTTTTCTTGAAAAGTTTGCCTCTCACTTCAATTCATCATCCTCTTGTTTCTTTTTCTCCTTTACCCATCTTTTCTTTCTCAACCCAACATCAATTTTGTTCATCAGGTCTTCTATTTGTCTTCAATTTAACTTTTTGATTGTTAATTTTGATCTGGGTACTTGTAATTTGTTCCTAATTGAATTGCGTATGTGTAAAATTTCATGATTTAATTTTTTAATGTTATTTTTAATGTTTATTTGGTTGTAGAACGAAGAAAGCTAAGATTGCAGGTGAGAAATTGTGTTCCTGCCCTGCTCCTGCTCTTCCTCTTCGCTTCATCTTCACCAAATCACCAGACGGCCAGATCAGCAGACCTCCGCCACTGCTTCCAGTGCTGGTCACCTCCTCCTGCTCTTCCTCTTCTTCATCTTCGCTCACTGCTGCTGCTGCACACAGGCGGCTCGCCGGCTCCACTGCCTCCACACATTGATGGTGTTGTTGCTCTTGATTGGGTATTTGGGTTGTCGGTGATCATCGAAAGCTTCCTCCTCTCTCTCCTATTCTCATTTTGCTAGTAAGTTGATTTCTAATTTTTAGTTTAAAATTCTAATCTTCAATTTAATTCAGTCTAATTAGTTAATTCTATTAAATTATTTGATATAAGTTTAAGGGAAATTGGAGGTTGTCGAGACACAGTGATTGGATTCTTCTCTCTATTTCGTTGATTTTGTTAGTTTTTTGGTAAAAGTTTGAAACTTTAGTTGATTTTGTTGTTGTTTGTTTGTAAACTTTGAACCTTTTGTTAATGTTGTTGGGTTTTTGTCTTTTTGATGAAATTTGAACCTTTTTGACCATGTGATTATGTGAATTGTGGTCAGTGTTTATTTAGGGTGTTTATTAGCTTGTCAATTTTAGTCTTGTCAATTTTAAGCTTGTTAATTATTAGTTAGTATTGTAATCTTGTCAATTTTCTATTTGGATGATCTTGGTAAGAAATTTTTTTTTTTACATATTTGGTTATCGATTGTGACTCACCAGTCGGAAGTTCCTGGGTCCGGAAGTTCCTGGGTCCGCCAAGGGTTGTCAATAGGGCGGGGTGGGGCGGATTTTAGTCTTCCATCCTCATCTCAATCTAAAATTTTCATATCCATCCCCATCCCCATCCCCGCGACGGGTCTAAAATTCATCCCCATCCCCGCCCCCACTTGAATAATCACCCCCACCTAATCCCCACCTAAGACCTGCCTAATCCCCGCCTCCCAAATACACAATCCTTCATAATTAATAAAGATTGCAAAAAGAAAAAAATTATTATTAATATTACACATTCTATTGTTTATAATATAAGTGTATTACAAAGTATTATATTTACTATTTTATTTTACATAATTTTTTTTATAAAATAGTATAAAAGTATATAATTTTGTTTTTAAAAATATATGGATGTGGGGATGGGGCGGGTACGAAGTGGGGTGGGTGGAGATGGAGCGGGTACGAAGTGGGGTGGGTGGGGATGGAGCGGGTACGAAGTGGGACGGGTGGGGCGGATAAACCTAAAATCCACCCCGCCTCATCACCCATGGCGGGTATGGTTTTTATCTCCATCCCCGCCCCATCACCCGCCAAACCAAGATTCATCCCCGCCCCAACGCAGCTCTCTTATTTGACCCGCCCCAACGCGGGTCTCTTATTTGACCCGCCCCACTGACATCCCTAGATATGTGCTTTATAAGTGGGTAAAAGACACTTGTAATTTGAAAAAACAAAAAAAAAAAAAAAAAAAAAAGGTAGAGAAACAGAGTGTAATTGGATAGAGTTGACATATTTTGACTCATATAGTATAAGCTACTCCGTATAAAATTAAATGCTTGTTGTTACTTTATTTTTCTTAAATAAATAAATAAATATCTGGACTAATAGATTTAGAATACTTTTTTTTATTTTTAACTAGTAGATATACAAACCAACAGAGTTGTTTTTTTTTTTTTTTTAAGGAACATACCAACATAGTATGACTATGGGCCGTTACTGTTAACTTAGTGAAGTATAACTTGAGGTTCAGGTTCAATGCATAATAATTCATTGAGGCTCAGGTTCAAGGCATAATTACTTAAGTGGGGTCCAGAAAAGCTGTGATGCATTTATAAATCTATGTGGTCATTAGTTCTTCTTATTAACCACAACTAATTATTTGCGGTTGAGGTTCACGTTGAAGTTGATAGTTGTGATAATTTCTTGATGGAATCTTAAAGCTGCAACTACTGAGTAGTATTTATCTTCTCTCTTTGTTCCTTTATTTCCCAGTTTATATTTCTGTAGTTTGAAATTAAAATTAAAAGAGGTGGTTTTTGGTGTTCTTGTTGAAGCTAAGGAAATGATAACTTGCGGAGAAGTAGATTCTAAAGGTCACTTGGAATTGAGGGAGGATCCAGAGGCATGGATTAAAAATAACCCTCCTTCTCGTCTAGCCTTGCGTTGTTATGAAAAGGAAGAGGTAGGAGAATCAATAGGTGAGCTCACACAGCTCATCCGCCTGGAATTCTTGTACTGTGATTCCCTGAAATGTGTGTCTAACACCATCACTAGGCTTCACAAATTGGAGCACTTGCAATTTTATAAGTGTTATTGTTTGGAAGAATTGCCGGCAAATATAGGGCAGTTGGTGAGCCTTACTCATCTCAAGCTTGATTATTGCGAGAACATAAAGTTCCTTCCTGATAGCATTGTAAATCTATCCAATTTGACTTATTTAACTCTCTCTTCCTGTGATTCCCTTGTTGAATTGCCGGCAAATATAGGGCAGTTGGTGAGCCTTACCCATCTCAAACTTAAATATTGCAAGAACATAAAGTCACTTCCTTTGAGCATTGCAAATCTATCCAATTTGACATCTTTATCTCTCTTTTCCTGTGAGTCCCTGGTTGAATTGCCGGCAAATTTGGATGGGTTGGCCCATTTATGTCTTCTTGATATTCAATCATCCAAAATCAAGTGTCTTCCTTGGAGCATCACGAAGCTACGCAAACTCCGACATCTAATGTTGCCCGAACATTTCAGACTCGAAACGTTGCCATATGACTTGAATCATTCGGTCATCATTTCTGTTAAAGATAGGCATGTTCGCAAATCCTGGGAGGAACTTAAAACAGAGATAGGAGAATTGCCCATTCCTTTTGGTGGAGGTAAGTTTACATTGCCAATGCTTTTACTTTTACAGTTTTACTCCAAATTTGTTTGTTCTAGTTGACGTGGTAGTTATACTATGTAATAATCAAGCTTATCTCTTCTCTCCCCCTCCTACAATGGCAGAAATAAGAAATGATGCAGCTCAAAATCCCTCTATCATATCTCCTCCTGGTTATCTCCGATTGAAGGAGGATGATCCTTCGCAATGGATTATTAATAACAGAAATTTACTCATGTTGGTTCGATTTTTGGACTTGGAAAATGTTAAGGAGTTAACAGATTCCATAATGCAATTCAGTGAGCTCACCCACCTCTATCTCTACTTCACTGATCATATTTGCCTCCCGGATAACTACTTTGTCACATTCACAAGGCTTACACGTCTCTCTCTCGACTCTTCTGATGTTGAAATTGATGAGTCCGTTATTCACAGCTTAAGCAAGCTATCCAATTTACAAACACTACATCTGCGATTATCCATTTATGATAGCTTGGAAAATTTTAATATGCCTGTCAGCCTCAAACATCTCTCTTTATCATCTTGCAATATGAGGCCACTTTATGATAGCTTGGAAAAGTTAACTAACTTAAGGAGTCTGGATCTCAATTCCTGTGATTATTGCGAGTCATTGCCACCATGTATGTATATTCACAAACTCAGGCTTGTGGATTGCTCCTTCGAGTCACTTGACTCACTTCCTATTGGCCTACATCACCTGGAAATTTTGTTTTTCAAAGATTATAATGACCTGAGATGTATCTTTGAAAAATGTTGGAATAAATTAGTCAACCTGGAGACACTCTCCATTACATGTTCTAAAATGGAGTTCTTTCCTGAAGATATAGCAAGACTCCACAACTTGCAAGAATTACAACTCAAAGACTGTATCAGCCTCGAAAAACTACCATCAAATCTACATGAGTTAGTCAATTTGCATACTCTTGATATCAGCGTCACCAGAATCAAGACCCTTCCTCCTAGTTTTGTGAAGCTGCGCAATCTACTACACTTAATCCTCCCCAAGTGTTTTAACTTTGAAAGATTGCCAAGGAATCTGAAGCAAGTGTCCATCATCGATGACACAGAAGAAGCATACTACAAGAGCAACGCCTATGATGCTTCCCTTTACCAAGCCTCAGCCTCCGATGAAAGCGAAGATGAAGTAACTGTTGTTCCTAGAGGTAATTAAATGTTGCCAGTAATTCATATGTCATAACTTGCATTTTTTTTATCATCATTGATGACACGGATGATGCATACTTCACACATATGAATAACTCTCGTATCAAAATGCCAACAGTAGAAATTCATGAAACTGTCCCTGATGAGCAGACATCAGCAGATCCTTTCAACAGTATAAGTATGGGCTCTATTGAGCACATAACAACAGCACAAGGTGGTATTGAGCAAGATAATGGTGAGAACAGTCATCATGATTTAGAAAATGGGCAGAAACAGGTCCCTCAACACAATAAGGTGGAGAGAAATAGTAGAATTGAAATATCTGAAGAGAAGCTACAACAATGTTGGTCCGAAAACCCGATGTCACTACAAGAAACTGCAGAAAAAATATTTGGAGGTATCATGATCGCATTTTGTTTGTATTAGAATTGTTAATTATCTGAGACCTGCATTTACATACTCTTGCCAAAATCTGTTTATTCATTGAAGTTTTAATTTCTATTGATGCCACTGATATTTCAAAAGGAATAATAATGCTGTATTCAATGCAAAACTTCAATTGAGAACTTTTTCCTAGAGCAAAACTATTAAAACATTGAGTAATGTTGTGCCATGTGCGGAGTAACATAAATTTACATCATGGACACTACACAATTTTTTTTTTTTTTTGGTTGATAAAAATGGAAACTAAGCAAATTTAGATGTTCATGTGAAATTTTGATCCCTGCCTTTTAATAATTTCAAGCAAACTCTTATTTACAATGTGCGAACCTCTAATTATATATGTTTGCTTACTTAATTGTCTTCATTGATGTTAATTGTCTCTTTGAACTTTTATAAATAGTGTGGTCACATTTATACTCGTGAAAATATTTGTTTACCTATATTCCCTAATTAATGTTAATGGTCCATAACTAAATTTGTGGTTATGACTTTATAAGGATGGTTTTTGAAAATTAATTTATCATTAAGACTGAGATAGACATCCTGTCATCCCGATGATTTCCATAAAAAAATTAACTGCTTGAGCTTCTTTATCATACTTGACTTCAATTTGCAGTATCATACTTGGCTTTTCTAAATGATTAATCATACTTGACTTCAATTTGCAGTATCGAGGTCTACATTGAAACGAACAATAAAAGAATTGGGTGTCGAGAAGTGGCCAAGAAAAGGAAGAAAACAACAGCCTGATGCAAAGAAGAGGAAAACAAACAATACAGCACCATTTGAAAGTTATTGCTCACAACAGAATGTGGTGAACCTAGGTAGTTCAGCAGCTCACACGGAAAATGTGCAGTGTATAATGGGATCAGACCTGCATTTGGAAGAGCCCTTAATTGAAAGCCATATGGATATCCAGCAACAAGTCCAAGGGCATCTGGAAGGCGCTCTTCATACAACTGAAAGTTCAGGCACAATTGTTGTAAAAGCCACTTACAAGGAGCTTTCAGTGAGAATTGTTTTCTCTTTGACTTTACCGATTAATCAACTAATTGAAGAAATAGGCATGAAGTTCCAACTTGAGTTGAACAAATATAGATTGCTTTATCAAGATGAAGATAAAGAGTGGATGATGCTGACTAGTGTGGAAGATTTGAAGTATGCTTCGAATGTTGCTGAATCATTGGGAACCAAGTTTGTTAGATTGTCTGTTATTGACTATGTTGTTTAATACTGTAAAACTATTGCTTATAGTTGACATATTTTGACTCATGTAATTAAATGTTGTTACTCCGTGTTACTTTTTCCCTTCTTAAAAGTAGGAATAGTAATGTGAGGATTAATAAGAGAGAAGTAAAAGGAGGGAAGAAAATAAGATTTCCATTATTTTCTAAAGGAAAATATTTTCCACCGTATGTATTTAGAGAGTGATGAAATGGGAGATATCATAAAAGTATAAATCTTATGAATATAGAGAGATAAAATAAATATTACGAAGTACAAGCTTAGAGAATCAGAGTGTAGAGGAAAATGAGTCTTGTTATTCTCACACAAAGATGTTAATTATGGGTCAGGTCATTTCTGGTTGTTTTGTGTTTTGAGTCTGTAGGGTTAAGATCGGGTTGCGTCACTTTGGGTTTCGGGTCGCTTTGGGTATCGAGTTAATTTGGGTATAAGATCAATTTCGGGTTAACATTTTTGGGTTAATTTCGGGTCATGGATCGGGTTAGGATTGCCGGGTCAATGTCGGGTGAATGGGTAATTATTTAGTGAGGTCCAAGTTTTTTTTATTTTTTTTTTATTTTTCAAGGTTCAGGTTCAATACACAACTAGTTTTTATTTCATTATTTTTTTTTTTAAGAAAATAAGGTTCAGGTTCAATATACTTCGTACAACTTAGTGAACTAGGGTTGATTGTGGGGTCCAGAATAGTTGTGCTGCATTATTAATCTGATAATCTCTATGGGTTGTTCATCAATCCCTATCCACCTCACTTTTTTTTTTTTTTTTTTTTTTAGGGGGGGGGGGGGGGGGGGCGGTGGGAAGAAATAGGAGAATAATGTAGGTTCAGGCTCAAAGTTTTTATAAATTGGTAGCTGCTTCTCAATTCTCATATACTAGTACAGTACGTATTCAATATTTCATTCAAATCCTGAAAGTTAGAGTATCCCTGCTATACAAAGTGACTCTGCAACTATGGAAAGTGAACAAGGAAATTATGAGCATGAGCAGAACCAAACCCTTCAAAATGACATCAAGGGTTACAAAAGAAAAGAAATTTCACTAGAGACGCTTCAATCATTTTGGTCCAAAAATATGACATTCCAAGAAGCTGCAGAACAAGTTGGAGGTATGTTACTTTATGATTAAAAATTTTGGTCCTAGAACAAATTTATGTTATGTGCTTTTAATTCCATGAATTTGTTCAGCAAATTGTAGTTAAATAAAAATAGTTTATGTTTTGATTCTTGGTCTTTCTTAAATGACCACAATTTGCAGTCTCGAGGTGTACAATGAAGCGAAGATTGACAGAATTGAAGCTGGTGTGGCCATCAAGCAAAAAAAGGAAGCAACATCTTGATGATGATGCAAAGAAGAGGAAACACGATAGTAAAGCACCATTTGGAAGTGATTCCACAACACATCAGAATTTGGTGAATCCTTCTAATTCAACTGCTCACGCGGATATTGTGGGGAAGGGTATAACTGGATGCGACCGGCATATGTTGCCAAATCATGTATCATCCAACTCCAACGCTGTTGGCAACTTGACCATGGACACAAGAGTGGAAAACGTTAGGGAGAACTTAATGGATAATCAACGTTCTGAAGAGCATTAGAATGGATGATGCTGACTAGTGGAAGAAAAAAAAGAACAAGAACCAAATTAAAGTTGATTTTATCACAAAGTTCTTGTTCAAATGCCACAAAGGCATCAATTTGTTGAGTTGATTTTAGGTAAAAGATCACAATGTAACTTTTACCTTCTTCAATGTTCTACAAATTAAAGTTGTAAAATCATATATTAGGCGCTAATTAATTAATTATAACATATATATTAAATCATATAAGAAATAAATAATTAAACTAATACGAATTATTACCATTCCCCAGTAGCCGGTATTGTAGAGCCCGACCCCTCCCGGAGGACAAGTACTTTGTTCACAAAGTACGTCCATCCGTAACGCAACCGGGTTATGTTTGAAGCACGACACTAGCTCCGTTACGATGTAGATATCCTCATCCTCACCAATTCTAGCCCAAGGATTAATTGAGGAAGGCATAGAGTGACCTCCGGCTTCGAATCCTAAGTAAAAAAATCACGTAATCTTAAATGAGTGAGGATGACTGAAAATAGCTAGTATGTTCGAAAGAAGATACATGTACGTATGTATTATAGGAAATTCATGTAACGTAAAAGTCAAATTGTATACTCTATGTAAATCAAGATTATACGGATCGGAGTATATAGTAATTAATTTCAAAATTAATTAAATAAAAGTAGTTAATTAGTATGTCACCTGTGTTACTCACAAGCTCCGCCCATAACCCACCGGCTCCAGCATGGTTGATTTCCTAATTGAAAAATTAAAATTAGAAATGTATGTTAGTTTCAGATCATTTTACCATATAAATTTTTGTAACATTGATGATAAAAAGTAGTCCGGTCCAAACATCCTTATACCGAGGTCATTATGTTCAACCGTTCAAGAGTCCTTAAGGTATATCGATCAGTAGCTATGTTATTTTACAAAGGCCTAAATTAAATAGAATTGTACGTATAATTTTATTTTAGATTGAATGTACGTAGCAATCATTTCTTCAAATTAAAAAAAAAAAGAAAAAAAAAGAGTACGTAGTAGTAATCATAATAATACGTACCTCGAAAAAAATGCCAAAAAAGACTGGAGATATCTTATGTCCTTTGGAGACATCAACGGAGACGGAGTTTGTGAGGTGGCGGCGATTGTCATCGACAGGAACGGAGGCTGTGAGGTGGAGGTTGAAGACTCCAAGTAGTAGCCAAAACACTATAAGGGAGAAAATAGGCTTTGAAACATCCATATTAAATTTCAAGTATTGCGTGTTTTGATCAAGAAGAAGAGGAGTAAGAAAGGTGACGAAGGTTTTTTTTTTGTTGGAGATGAATGGTCGTATTCTCGTATAAATTGTAGAATGAGGAGTAAGAAATTAAGGTGAGGAAGGTCTTTTGTTTGAGATGAATGGTAGAATGAGTAGTAGAAATGGTAGAATGAGGGAGCTATATTTATAGCCGAAATTCTACTGCGTGCATTATTACCGGTAAAAATTAATCTCGGTAAAAATTTAACCTCGGTAAAAAATAAAAAATTGACGTAGTTATCAAACACAGAGTCGTGTAATAAGATTTATAAAAGTTGTACTGTAGTAACAATAATTAATGAATTATTAAAAAAAAATAATAATAATAATGCATATATTATTTGATCATACGTCGAAAAAGGAAAATAAAGCAGTCCACAAGTAAATATAGATAAAGCTATTCAAAAATAAATTGTAATTGCTACTCAAAAAAAAAAAAGAAAAAAAAAAGAAAAAAAAAAGAGGTAAATATAGATAAAGTCACTTTCTGATTATACTTATTTATCTTAATCATATTGTATGATTCATATCCCTTTAATTTTTTCTCCTATTTTTAGCAAATTTTATCAATTATTTTGTCCTTTAATTTATATCGATTATTATGTGATATGCACACTTTTATCACCCCTTTTTCCTACTACATTTTTTTAACACTCACTCATATTTTTTTTTAACACTCACTCATATTTTCACATTACCTTTTACCTTTATTTTATAGTATTCCTCACAAACACTCACAATTCTTTAAGAAAATCATAATCTACATATCTACATTATAATAAGTAAATAAATAAAATAAAGTAAATAATAAAGGCGGTATTTGTTTATTACTTTGTAAACTTTTAAAATGATAAAAAAATTTATGTATTTGAAACATAATACTTTGTGAGATTTTTTGTGCATGAATAACATGTTAAAGAAAATAATGATAATATGCTCCAACCAATTCTAATTCAGTCTACCTAACAATAATTGTATACCACCTTTTTCAAAGAGACTCAAATAATACCTATTATTATGTTAAAATTTGCCAATAAATAGACAAACTAGGGTCCATATGGTTGAAAAATATGTGTAACAATGGTAGAAATGTAGCATAGTCTAGCTTATAATTGTTATATGCTCTTAAATGTACTCATTCAAGCTTTTGAATTCTTAACATTTTCTAATTTGTTTGTTACTAATAAATAATAAGCATCTATCTTATGTATCACCATAGATAAGATGAGCAAGCTAATTGCATGCATTAGTACCTATCATGTTATTAATAATTTCATTACCTACCTTCCTTCATATCACATATATTAGTCACACCACTTTTTTTTTTTTCCTTTAAAGTTATATGTAGTCGAAACTTATTAACGGTGTATTAAAATGATGTATTCGAAACTTAATACTTTACGAGATTTCCTGTGCATAAATAAGATGCTAAAATATAATGATAATATGCTCGAACCATACATTTCTAATTCAATCTACGTAACTATAATTGTATAACACTTTTTTTAGAGAGATTTAAATAATGCCCAATATTATGTTAAAATTTGCCAATATATCCTCTCTATCTATATATATAGATAATCTAGGGTCCATATGGTCGAAAATTCTTGTAACATTGGTAGAAATTCAGCATAGTCCAGTCTATATTGTTATATGCTCTTAAATGTACACATTCAACCTTTTGAATTCATAATATTTTCTAGTTTGTTTGTTACTAATAAATAAGCAACTCTCTTATGTATCACCATAGATGAGATGAGTAAGCTAATTGCATTAATACCCATCATGTTATTTCTAATTTCATTACCTACTCCCTTCATCTCGCATTAGTCGTCACACCTACCACTTTTTTTTTTATTATTTATTTTATTTTATTTATTTATTATTATTAATAAAGTTATACTTAGTATGTATTTGAAACTTATTAACGGTGTATTAAAATGATGTATTCAAAACTTAATACTTTACGAGATTTCTTGTGCATGAATAAGATGCTAAAATATAATGATAATATACTCAAAGCATACATTTCTAATTCAATCTACATAACTATAATTGTATTACCACTTTTTCCAAATTTATTTAAACAATATCCATAATTATGTTAAAATTTGCCCATATATCTTCTCTATTTATATATGGATAAACGAACTAGGGTCCATAACTCCATATAGTTGAAAATTTTGTGTAACAATGGTAGAAATGTAGCACAGTCCAGTATATAATTGTTATATGCATGCTCTTAAATTTACACAATCAACCTTTTGAATTCTTAACATTTTCTAATTTGTTTGTTACTACTTCGTAATAAATAAGCATCTTATGTATCACCTTAGATGAGATGCGTTAGATAATTGCATCAATAGCCCTCATGTTATTTCTAATTTCATTACCTACTTCCTCCATCTCGCATTAGTCACACCACTATTTTTCTTATAGATCGTGTGAGATTACTTGTAACAAATTCATAAAAGAAAAGGGCCAATAACTTTATTTATTTAATTATTTATTTCTATTGTTATTATAACTGTTTAACTCATTATTTTTATGTAAAACTCAAAGTTCACGGCAAAGTGGCAAACTTCCCACTATACATTATACTGTAATGAAATGAATCAAATGTGATAGAGTATAAAAATATATTTTTGGGCCTCAATCATAAGCTTAAGCTTTTAGTTGAGTTGGTCCTTTAACATGGTATCGGAGCCAGCGTGACACAAAGATCACAGGTTCGAATCTCATCCACCCCTCATTTAAAGTGGAATTAATTTGCACCAGGTATGGGTGGATCTGTGTTGCATCCACATTTTAAGCCCAAAGGGTCTTTCATGTGAGGGGGAGTGATAGAGTATAAAAACATATTCTTGGGCCTCAACCATAAGCTTAAGCTTTTGGCTGAGTTGGTCCTTTAACAAAATGATACCAAAGTAACAACAAACTATGGAGTTATTAATAGTCTAACACACAATAATATACAGTAGAGTATAAGAAAGTCAATTATTTTGCATTAAATCATAGGCCAATCAAATTGATACAATTAATGATGAGCAGCAGAAGTATAAGCTTAGCATAGAGCACATTCCCGTATTTAGGACTAAGAAAATGACATTTGAAAATGACAATTTTAAGAGTGCAGGTTGATTAATGCCAATCAGAAATGCATATTTACTTATTAAAACTCTGCTGCACAAGTTGCCACAATTATTACCTGGATTTATAGAAATTATAGGATTTGAAAAAAAGTTCACAAGAACATGGCTTATTAGGGCATTTAATTTGATCAGTTTAACCTACGAGTAAAATATATGATACTCCAAACATTTTTAGGTAGCCCATTAATACTTTAAGGTAAAAATAATAAAAGCGCACAACATTAATATTCTTATCTTTCTTTTAACATCACATGTTCATAAAATATACTCCCAACGTACTTGGTATATAGCTTAACAACAAATAATTTAGAAAGTTTGTCCCTCTAATGGGCATCAATTTATAGATTATTATGGCTTATTATAGATTACTATGACTTATAGTGTATTAGTGTGCTCTAAATGTGGTAACTTGATAATAATGAAGTAGATTTCAAACCTTTTGAATTCTTCAATTTCATCTTGTTTTTTTTATTGGAAGAATGAACAATGGAAAAGCAAATTGTGGAACCATGTATGTGGTAATCAAATCACATTGGTTATAATTGGCCATCTAGTACATTATTATTTTGATTGTTTTCTTTTCAAAATTACCGGAAAATTAAAAACTAGGAAAATTATGAAAATTATAATCATTTTCATCATTAAATAAATCAATAAAAAGAAAACTAGCTAGGTATACAATATTATGGAGTATTTTTTTTTTAATACATTTTATCATTGAAAAATCAAACGAGTACAAATAAGTCTGCTATAATTTAACGCAAAATACCAAAGGGAAAAAAGCAGATAAACAGGGAACAGTTAAAAAAAAAAACTCTACTAAAGGAGTATTATGCAAAAATCGCAATTGGATGGAGCCACCTACACATTAAATAAGAGATCATCAAGAACATTGATTTGGATCGTTCAAATTAATTTGCTATAATTAGAAGCAAAGTTAAAAACCCAATTGATCGTTTTAAAAAGATAATTAAATAATTACACAATTTAATTAAAAGTTGAAAGACAATTTATTGCTTTGAATTGGAAAAAAAATTGTAGGACAAAAATTCTAAAAATAGAAGGCAATAGCTTGTAGCCGAATGCTAGTTACTGCTAGTAATTATTGACGACGTTGTACACGTTTTGTCTCATTGCTATATATTGGATCACGTTTTTTTTTTTTTTTTTTTTTACATCACGTCTAAAATCATAATCTAATTTTCAATAATTTTTTTTTTTTAAAAAAAAAAAAAACCACATTTAAGCCTATCATTATAACAAACAATGGAGGGGAAAAAAAAAATACAATGGAGGAATAAGAATTTGAACCCATATTTTCACTTGTTATGGACCTTATGTTATCATTATTGAAAATATTGTTCATATACTATCAGTCTCTATCACTACTCTTAAAAACTAATTAAAGTACTTTATATCATAAAATTTATCATTCAAACATAAATTTCTATCACATGTCATATGATAAAACTTTCCTATTAACTTGTGCATTATTTGTGGGTAGGGACGTTGGGTAACTTACCTAATTTAGTGCACACAAGTCAAAATAATAAAGATTGTAGCATAAATACAATTCTTGTACAAAGAATAACAATTGCTTAAAATTTCGTATGCGTAAACAAAATACTTCGTATATAAACATCCTCATTTTTTATTTTTTGATAAAACATCCTTGTTTAAATATACAAAGTATTATTTGTGAAGTGAAATTTCTTATTTATTAACAATTTTTTTTTTTTTTCTGACAATTAAAAGGATTATATATTTTATTAAAGCTAAAGTAAAAGTAGAACTTGTAGAGTAATATACAAAGTACAGTACTCCATAGTCTTTTAATAGGTCCACCATTTATTTATTGCTACATTTCTAAATTATTTTTCCCTCTTGCTCTAAGAGTCACAAAATCTAAAAACAAAAAACAAAACGATGCTCACTATTAACTTGTTTTTATTGTTACTTTTACCTTACCTCTATTTTTATGTATGGAAATGTAAGTATGTTACAGCAACGTTAGAACCCACACATTACTAAAGAAGTAAAGATGCCATTTAGCGAGGCCGAGGCCTGAGTACAAATAAAAGCAAGTTGCTTAAAATATAACTATGGTTTAAAACTTTGAATTAAAACTAATTTTATGGACTTTGAATAAGATAAAGTGTAAATGGCAAACCACTAACAAAGTTATAGTATAGCGGTAAGTATTCCTGCCTGTCACCCCGGTGACCTGGGTTCAATCTCGGCAACGGTGGTTTTTTATTTTTTAAGTGGTAAGTACCTCCCATGTATGAATGTATAATATCAGAGTCTTGACCACATATCCGATTTGCAACACTCAGGAGCATGGGTGAATGACAAACACTTAACACGCCCAATTTACCTTGAGATATGCATGTCTCATATATCTCATGAAAAATATACTTGCTCCACTTTCCTTTTTCGGCCGTTTTTAAATACTTGCTTCATTTTCTTTTTTGGAAAGCTTTTACAATATTTAATTCATTTCTCACACTTGGTGGACCCAACATAATACTCTCTCTCCTCCTATTCTTCCATTACTTTTGCTTTTTACAATTT